CCGCATCTGCACCTCTTAGCCCCGCTACTTCTTCTCTAGCACTGCTCTCTTTCTGTTGTGACAACTTCAATTTCTCGATCTGTTTTCTGTTTACACATTACCTAAATAACGATTTTTGGACCAAGCATGTGATTAGAGTAAAGTCTAAGTTGCCCATTCAGCGGCCAAAATACCGTCTGACATTTCAAGTCGAGGAGTTCAGGAAAAAAGAGACTCATAGATTCTTTCTTTAAACTCGCGGCGCTGGTATCTTAGTCTTTGAAAGAGTATAGACAACGTCTCTAAACGTGCCTGAAGATCGTGGCTGCGAAGGCAAGACCGGCTATGCCCGTAGAAATGTCCCTCTGGTCACATTAGCGATTTGTGGTGTGTGGAAAGGATTAAAAACGATGCTCAATTTTCCTGTCTGCTTGATTAAGAAGAACACCCCTAGTACTTCTGATAAATCTGAATTGAACTCCCTCTTATGAACCTTCAAGTATCGAAAGTAATCTTCAACTTCAACGATACACCGACCCGTAATGGAATGCATTAATGATCTCTTAGTCGTCAAGTCCTCTACCTCTGTGTAGAGGCTTCGTAACCTTATAACTAAAGCTCATCTCAAAGCGATTGGCCTCCCAAACAAAAGACTTCAGTCAATGAAAGTGTGTTACCAAACGCCCAAACGCACCGAGCGCACGAAAGAGTAGCAATGTTAGAGAGATCCAGCAACGCTGTTCTCATATATTTACGAAATGATCGTTCCTCGACTCATTGCACGTCATTATTGTTCCACTAAAGTCCCACTTTGGTATCCCTGGGTCTTGAATGTAGATCCCGACCGTCACACCAACCATCGAAAGCCAATCGTTTTTTTTGAAGATGATAGGCACCCAAAATATGGGGGCCATCAGCGATATCGAGTTGACGAGAGGACATTGGTACCGCAAAAGAGCCATTTGAAAAAGCCCTGTATAGATCTCCCAAAGATCTACTATGGACGGTTGCCCTTCTAAACAGGGGCTATGGTGCGCAGACTTGGGTAGCGCAATTATAACAGTATGTTATCAAAAGCTCTCAGAATGTGAGGACGTAAACAGATCGGGAAGATCATCCTAATTGAGAGCTGTACGATCAGTAAACGATCAGTAAAATATCCAAGTGTTAGGTAGCCAAACCCTTTGTCCCTGCGTGAGAAGCTGTAGAATCTTTCAACCGTGGCTCTCAACATTGGATGGCTCCTGTTTGAAGCCGGAGATCAATTCGCAACAACTTGGCCACCATAAAAAGACTACTGCTGAATGAAATGAACTCAACCAACGTCCAATTGACTTATTCTCTAGCCTCCAGATTGTGACATATGCTAAATTTTATGCTAGCATTGACTGCTTGAACTGGTTTCTACGGATTGGCATTCCGTCTTGTTGCCTCCTAGAACATGTGCTATGTATTCATCGAGAGTGAAGCAGAGCTTGGTGAGCAGTTGTACAGGATCTGTGGGTCAAACTAGCCCTTTTTCGTGTGATGCTTAAAGATCATCGTTTAAGCTGACCATATCTTCATTATCCTTTTTTCTCGGTGATGAGAATTTTGCATGACTGATTTATGATAGTATAGATAAACCATCAGCCGGCAATGCAGCTTCACTAGAGAGGAAGACAATCCTATTTCTCCTTCCAGTAGCCACTTTTTCGACCAGAAGCATCAATTGTGACAACTTCGTCGCTTTTATAAGGTCTATCACCCAGCATCAGAGAAAATTGGTGCAATTGAATGTCATTCGACAAGCCAGTTCTATAGCTTTTCTGCCGATATGTCTGAAGAGTTAACAATACCACAAGTAGTGGACGACCTTACCGGTAAAGAAGATCTCAGTCGAACATTTAAAGACATTGCAGCCGGCATTTCCGGCGGTATCGCACAGGTTCTTGTTGGACAACCCTTCGACATCACTAAAGTGCGGCTACAGACTTCTACAACGCAGACCTCCGCGCTTAAGGTGGTTAAATCTTTGGTGAAGAATGAAGGACTGAAGGGGTTTTACAAGGGTACGACTACACCGCTTATAGGTGTGGGAGCTTGTGTTTCTTGCCAGTTCGGAGTTAACGAAGCCATGAAAAGATATTTTCATAGAAAGAACAATTACTCTAGTCCCACACTGAAACTCAAAGAATACTATGCTTGTGGAGTAGTCAGTGGCTGCGCCAATGGGTTTTTGACGGCACCTATAGAGCATGTGCGAATACGTTTGCAGCTTCAGACCAGTTCTCTGGCAACCGCTGAGTATACTGGAGCCGTTGACTGCATAAAAAAACTAATCACTTCGGGAAAAATCATGCGTGGGCTCACTCCAACTCTGCTTAGAACATCTCATGGCTTCGGTATCTACTTTTTGACCTACGAATCTCTTTTGGCGTCCGAGGCCAAGAAAGGGGTTAAAAGAGTCGACATACCATCCTGGAGACTATGCTCGTACGGTGCTCTATCTGGAGTAAATCTGTGGCTAATGGTATATCCGTTCGATGTCATGAAGTCTGTCATGCAATCAGACGATCTTCGGAAACCTGTGAATGGGAAAAACGTCGCTCAGGTCGCAAAATACATATACTCCACAAGGGGTATCAAAGGATTTTTCAAAGGCTTTGCACCAACCATGTTGAGATCCTTACCAGTGAATGCTGCTACATTCACGGTTTTTGAGCTTGCGATGAGGTTGATGGGCTGAATGGAACTGTCATCACAAATAATGCAATTCACCAATTTCGATGAAAATAGCTTACATTGAACCATGGGTGTGAGGTTTGCATCTGATAGACGTGATAGACTGAGTTAATATGAGCACACTTGTGCGGATGGGGCTTGAGATTGTTTATGGAACTTGTATTAGCGATGAGGGCTCAGAAGAGTACTGAAAATGCCCCTCTAGCACATGCCAAATGGATATAGTAAGGCCGTTTCATATTGGATGCTTTGTGGATATACCTATGCCATTCATTAATTTGGCCTTATACCCTAGCCTCTTATGGCTTAGAAGTTTTGGAAAACGGATAGGAGGTTCCTTCCTTCTACTCAGAATGGCAAATCAGTGTTGAGTCATTCGATACTAATGAGCTGTGCGTAAAGACCTAGTCTGTCTTCAAAATTGACACGAGGTGCTAAAAGTTCCGCTAGGGTTGCATCATATAACCTTTAATTATAGACAACATTTTCTTTTACATATATTTACCATCTCCACTCAGACATCGGATGAGGTCCCACCTTTTCGCAAGCTATCAGGAAATTCAAGATTTGTGTTTACATTCCTGAGATTCAAGAGAACAGTACATCACCACTGGCACTAAAATATATTCTGCTGTTGGCTCTTGAGTAATTATTCCCTAAAAGATCATTCGCGTATGCTTTGCAGATAGATAATGAAGGCTCTTATGTCTAGAGAAAAACGTAAGGGCAAGAGTTTCACTTCAATTTGGCATCTCTGTCCATCTAGAACAAGAGCTATGTAAAACCACAGGTTTGTGATACTATGACAGCGACAGTAGTGACAAATAAGCCAAGAAGGTAGGTGATTATAAGTTAAGGATGATCTAGCGAGGGTATGGGGGGATCAGAACTGAGGGGGTTAACGGGGTTTGATATAAATACCTCTGCAGTGGTCTGAATTCCTGTCATTGCATCGGATCACAATGGGTGGTACTCATGACATGTGGATAGGCAATGTTTTATTAGATCAACGAAATCAACTCAGGTACGCTAGACACATCATGGAAGAGAAATCAAGTCCCGGTTAAAAACAGTATGCGGTTCATTGCAACGGAAAACATCATCAAATGTATTGCACTTCAACCATGTAAAGACCCCGAAAACTCACAAAAGGAGTATTATCGCTTCAAAAGGCTAGGTAAATGCTCTTCGATCCGTTCTGATGTGGCGTAAATTGTCTTAATTATCGCCCTGCAAGCCTCCCGACATTATTTCTCACTCCTGCAAGTCACGCTGTTGCTCTAGTTTATCAGTATAAAGAAAGTTACAAAGAGACGGTCCTTAGCAAGAGTGAGTTAAATTCTCTCGACATCGAAAGACTATCCAGCGACAAAATGAAAGCTTGCTGCAGGATTCTATTCCATGGTATAAAAAATATGCCATGAATGTGCCGTAGAATTTACTTCTACAGAGTAGAATGCTAGTGTTGAAACTTGGGTTCGTTAGAGCATATGTATCATTCTTAAACAGACTTAGATACTTAACGAAAGCTGTGTTGCTCCGGAAAATTGACTTCACCCTAGCATTTCGAGGGGAGAATAAACCATTCTAGGGTCATGGGTTATCACCACCTGAAAAAATCAGTAGTTTGGAGCAGTCTCAATATAGATATATAAGGAAAATCCACTTTTTCATCTCTCTTGACACAAATGTGATCTATGAAGCTAAAATAAACAAGACACAAGCAAAGCGGACACACTCGAATCAAATTAGCTCAGAGTTTGAATATGATATGATATTTTAAGTACTAAACTCTAGCAATATTTAAGGAAAAAAGCCATCATGGCGAGACGAATGTAAAAAAAAACGTTAAAATTGCTGGGCTCTTCGCAATAGCTGGTCTATTTTATTTGAAGGAAAATTTACATGGATAACAATACCTTGCGGCTATTTTGGTGCAGGTTAGAAATAAATGACATTGATTTAGTCAAAGTGTGCTAGGCTTTGGTGATTCGGCATAATTGTAACTGAAAGATATCCTCTAGAATTTACAAATCTGAATATTCTGCGCGGTATTTATCTGATTCTAAGACGATCAATAATCCAATTGAGACTCTGTATTTGATTGGCGTAGCACGATAAAGATGTTTTTATCTTTTGGTGTTGGTTTCCAGTGCTACATACTACTGTTTGATCGAGGTTTAGAGATAACTCTCCGTACTGTCTTGACCGCATCAAAGTCGGCCTTATAGGTTTCCTAAAGTATGCCCTTTTACTTACAGTTCTACGCTGCTGAGATGTTAGGAATGTGGTCTTTCGAGTTGTCAATTCTAATATTTGACGCTAGATCGATAGGAGCTCCGGCATGGTCCCCTTCTCCTTAGGTCATGCGACATTCAAATCGTCTATTCCTACCGATAGTTTGTAGGTAGTTTCTGCTGAAGTGGTGTTGCTAGAATGTCGGCGTTATCTCTGTCGCAACAAACTTCACTTCTAATTCAAAGGACTCAAACATCTTTCGCAACCTTTACATTTGGGTTCCAGAAAAAGGATTGCGTAGTTCAAAAACGTTTTGGAAGTTACCATTGGAAGGGCATTTTGACTGGTCTTATAAATTGTAGACTGATGATTAAATTCAATTCCTGAATTAAATTCCTAAACTTCCCGCTTCGTGTACTGGTCTAAATATCGCTTTCAACTCAGCTTCACTCGATGACACATAGGTACAAGCTGAGAGTACGGAGCGAGAAGAAATGAAGAGCTCATTGAGCTGTCAAGGCTGTCCCAATTGGGTTGTGTGCAGATATTAATGCTGTGAGAGTAATCTATGATGACTGTCATGTCGATAGGACTTATTGCTTCAATTCGCAACCATTTTGGCTTCTTGTGTGCAAAATTATAAAGCTACTGGGCCCAATAGAGTGCGACCTCACATACCTCTGCACATGGAAGCAATGCATGCTGATCTAGAATGATGACGTAGTATGACTTTCCGACCTTGGACTTGTGGATAATAAAGAAAAGCACCAGCGAAATTCTTTGCAAGCGATGATCCCCGGGATTGAAATACAGGTGCTGTAATTCGAATTTTGTGGAGACAATGAGATGACTTGGTGGTCATTTGACATTTGAATGTTTCGTCCTTTGAAGGGGTGAATCGAGCTTAAAAAGTTCAAGAATAATGGTTTTCTCACTCCCTACCATCATTTCGTTGTTTCGTTGGTACTCGTTTTCGAGATCTTGCATTTTGTATCCGGCGTAATCGTCAAAATTTGGTAGATCTGATTTAAGGGCTTTGGTTTCAAAACTTTTATTGGAGGACGCAGTGGCTCTTCATATAATGTTTGCTGCGTGTCGTGAAATTTACGTCATTGGCGTAAATGTTTACACCAAGAATTTGATCCTTCACATGTCTGAACAACTCACAAGGCCACATTTCCACTCAATTATTTAGAAGGTGATGAAGAAATGGTTACGGATAACTTCATACCGTTTTCTTCTCGACGGTTTCAATGCCTACAATGATTTCTTGAGCTTGAAACCTCTATCTCCTAATACGTAGTAGGTGTGGCAGCTAGATGTATAGCTTCTCTTTGGGTGGAGCATAGGTAGTTGTATGTCCAAAGTTGCCAACACTTCTAAGATACCCCCATTGATAAGCAGGTTATTAATGTCTCGTTCGCCATAGTTTTTGCTCAGCATCCAGGTTTTACGTGTGTTGCGTTTGCTCATCTCCTGGTGCAGCAGATTTAAATTTTCTTCTACCTCCTCTCTCGGTAGCGAATTTGAAGATTGAGCTAATCATCTTTTCCTCCGATACCACTTCATGGTCTGCGAGATTCCTCGTTTCCCGATCTTCATGTTTTCGGATTGATCAGCTCCTTATCCATATGTATTCTTGTAGGTGCTTTTTTCCTCTCCATTTGTATTTCAACTGAACCCTTCTCGGTATTGTAGAATCATACCTGCTTTTTGGTGAGGGATGATTTCTTTGTTGATACAACCGGTGAAACTGCCGCTTTATTCAAAGAGTTAAACATTCGTTTTCTTCAGTATCACTTCCTCTGCTTTTGAAATCACCTTCCTACTTCCTTATAGATATTTGACTGGTTAGGACGGTAAAAAAGTCTTCATCGTGACAATTTTCATGTATGAACCTTCCAGATCGTCATAGTCGTTTGATATACTGTCTGCAAAACTTCTTCCTCTGCCACTACCAAAATTTGAGACAGTTTAGAACTGCTTGATAGATTCTTCAACTGACCCATCGGGTCCCTCCTTAAAAAGCGGGTTCTCTGTTCGATCAAGGCACTCGGTTTATTCATAGTCGCGGCGAGTTCGGAAATTGTGGACTTTCTCTCTCATTATCAGGTACGGCTTGATGGGAAGTCAAACCCTGAGTTCATTTCGCCCGTATTAGAATCCAAGTCACTGACGTTCCAACAGTTGGAAATATCTCATCGTTAATTGCTTCATCTAGACTCTCTTGATCAAGACCTCGTCTGTCATTTCGATGATTCAAACATCTGGGCTGTCGTTCGTTAAACTCTCCCTATCGAGTTTATAATCTAATTCAATTGTTTCAATATGGCCCGGAGTACTCTTCTGATGCTGTCCATTATGAAAAAGTAACAATGGTTCATGAGCTTGTCCTTTCTAGGGACGTAGATGAGGTATCCGAACGATGCAGCGAAATAGTGTAAGACTTACCTTGGTAAGCTTGTTGTTTCCATCATACTGTTTTACGACGATGATATATAAACCAACAAAGGTATGCCAGATCTAGGTGAACCCTTCGTTACGCTTAGTGTACTCTCATCATCGCACAGGGCGATGTCTATAACCACGGTGCGTATGTACTATTGTAATGGTGAGAGGCAATATGCAACGCATGAAACCCCAAATGTCTTGATACTTGTGAATTGCTCATAAGTGTTCGGCAGTCGTTTAAAAATATAGGGCTAAATCAGGCAGGTACATCATATGTGCTCGAATCTCCAACTGAAGTATTCTAGAGTCTTACCC